TTTTGTTGAAGTTATATTTTGGAATACAGTTTGATTTCTTTAAGAAATTGTAGGAAAAAAATGTATTTGTATTTTATTTTATTTTTTTTTTTTTAAGAAAAATGTATTGTTGCTAATTTTTTTTAATATGAAAATATATAGCTGGTATTCTAAGTATAAAAATGTATTTTGACCCCAGTTTGGGACTTAAATTAGCCCATAGTTAGGACCCTAACAGGTGCTACCACCTCAGGAACAACAGTGAGTAAGAGGAGAGAAGAGGTAGATTCATACCTTTTCCAAGGATATTTGCACATAAGTGAATATAATGAACCTGACTGGAATTGAAACCTGGCTGTGTGGATTAACAATTCTTCCAAGCTATTACCCATTACACCACCCACGTACAGCACCCAGTAGTCCTAAGCAGTTGAGATGTGTGAGAGAAGAAACTGTTAGCATAGAATGGTAACATCTAGCCATTTCAGCTATAAAATGATGAGATCTTACTGCCAATCTGGTACTGTGCTTAAATTACTGAAGTTGAGATACCAAAGAAGAAAGCTCATCAGAACAATTACCATGAAAATATTTATAGAAAAGGCAGAGAGAAGCTACATTGCAGCAATGCAAAAGCAACTGAAGCCAAGATGCCAGGTCAGGACTGATAACATTGCAGATTCTTCTTTGGATTTTGTTAAGTATCTCTAGATACATAGCAGAAGCATCAGACTAGATGTGGTAGCAATATTCAATGAGTAGTTTTTAATACTAATTCATGAAATATTTGGACTAATATCATTATTTCGTACTATCATGAAGTATTTGGACTTGTATCATTATCTAGCTTGTAGATTGATAGCAAACTTATTTCAGATACCATTGCTAATGAAGCTGATGCTCCAATATTTTGAACTTGTGTCAAACTTGTAAAAGCTCAATATATTCACTGATATTCCAACATTTAGTTTATTAAAATGTTACTTTTTTTCATTACTATAAATTAAATCAGACTTATTTGCATATATTGAATAGATTAAAATATTAGTCTTATGAGCCTAATAGAAAGGAGTGGGGACATTTATTTATTTTTAGGAAATTTTCCGATCACCATCCCCAAGACCAATTTTGTTATATCCCACTTTGTGCCCCTTTAAATGATTTTCTTGCTCCCTTTTATTAAAGGCATCCTTTTTATTGCATAAAAAAAAATCCCCCCACCTTGTTATTTCATATAGAGAAAAATTGACACCTTCATTATTAAACCTTCCCTTTGTATTATAAGGTACTTACAAGTAAGTATTAAAAGCACCCACCCTGTTTATTGAGAAAAATCTTCAAATATTAAAACAACCCTTTATATTAGGCATCTATGAATACCTATTAAAAGTCTCCCTGTTTATTGCATATTCAGAAAAATTCCAACCCATCAATTATTAAACCTCCCTCTGTATTAAGTACCTACAAGTTAAAGGCTCCCCTGTTTATTGCTTATTGAGACCCCAAATTATTAAAACCCCTTTCACATTAGGCACCTACAAGTACAGTATCTACAAAATGAAAATTATTATTTTCTGTTTTTCTTCCTCTAACAAATTGTACCTGACAACTTTTCTTACCATTACCAAATAAACCTTTAGTATATTTTTATAGATAAAGAATTCTCTCTCTAATCCAAAACAGAAAAATATTTTTCACTGATGTATATCTGGTATTTAGAAATGAAAGATTATTATGACCTTTCTAAGAAAGTCGACTGTTGAGTTAGTCATTTGTGTGCAAACCATTTACAATAATTCTGATGGCATTCCAAACATCTTCGTTTTAGAAGCGGAAAAAAAGCATCTGAAAATGTCATTTAATAAAGTAGATATCAAACAGAAGATATACAAAATGTCTTGAAGAAACAGTTTATGGAACACACACCACTCAAAGATTCTTTTCTACAGTTAATCTAACAATGTTCACAGCAAATATCAATTGTTTTCTGAGGGTGTAGTTTCCACTTCAATTTATAGGCCAACAAATCCCAGATACTGAAGTGCAATTACATCAATTGTTTTGCATTTATTTAATAATTCCCATCAGAGTCTTGGCATGAAGACACTCTCATGTCTTACCACAATTATTTGTGTATAATATGCACTTTTGAGACACCAGTTTCTGAACAATCATGAAGTTAAGCAATGTCGAGCCTGGTCAGTACCTAGATGGATGACCACTTGGGAATACCAGGTGCTTTAAGCTTGGATGTGAAGGGGGTATAGTAGATAAAGGCTCAGAATTGTTAATCCATGTTCCAATTCCTATTGGGTTCATTATTCACTTACATGCAAATACCTTTGGGACAGGTATAAATCTCCCCCCAGCTTTGGGTTAATTAGTAAGACTTGGATCACTAAACATTCATATCTAAAATGAAATTCTTACAATCTAAAAATATTTTCTGGCTTTAAATAAACTGCAAAGGGTTGATAAGCTGTAAAAAATGAATAAATCAAATTGGAGTTTTTTCTAATTTTTAAGCCTAACAGCTATTGTTATTATTGTAGCATACCTATGGATGATAATGGGTATGCCCCCATTCCCATAAATACAGTAGTGAATACTGTATGTGATGGTATGCAGTTGGAGATTCATTGTGGAATTCACTTGACTCACTTCTAGCAGTTGACTACAACTTCTACACACCCCTGGTGAATCTTATATGTGTTATTCATGTCCTAAGTATTATCATTCATTATCAACCTCCGTGTGATTATTCTATTCAGTAATCTTCCCTAGGTTACAACAGTTATGTACTCTACAAAAAATAAATATTAACTCATTTTGCTATGATAACATTAGCATGAACATATTTAGATGTTTTGCCATAATTATTTGTGTATAAATTTTCCTTTTATCATATTTTTTTAGCCTAAAATTTATGTGTATTTATTATAATGGCTGCTCATTTCTGAAAATGAGCATCTTTGAGGGAGATTATCCAATCCCTGTTGCAGACACCTGCTCAGGTACATTCGTGTTTGTTCAACACACATTGGGCCCACTTGTGGTTTATAGTATAACTAGGCTGCGGTTAGTGTTTCTGGGAGATAGGTCATAATCTGTTGTGATCATCATTTTGAACAGGGCCAGTACACTCAAACCTTTGATCTCAATGTCATGTGATTCAGTGCTAGCACAACCATTGATAAACAATTTCATCTACCCAACTTTGCTTACAAGGCTTGGGTGAATAGCAAAGGTGTGCTTTTCCTCCATGACAACGCCAGGCTGCATGTCATGCGAGTGGTCAGGGACACCATATAGCAACTTGGGTGGGAAACTTTTTGCCATCCACCTTATTCACCTGACCTTGCGCCATCCAATTACCACCTCTTCCACTCCTTGGATAATCATCTTTGTGGGAAATCATTCACCACTGAAGCAGACTTGCGCAAAGCCCTCACGGACTTCTTTGTGTCAAAGGGCATTGAACAGCTGTAGACACGTTGGCAGAAGATGCTGGTTGCCGATAGCGATTACTTCGAAGACTAAATATAAGTTACACATACTGTGAAGAGTTTTCTTTTTTTTTTTCCTTTAAAAACGGACAGAATTTTTTTGGTTACCTTGTATTTACATACGTTCTATACCTGATATTGAGTACTCTAACCCACAAATAACTTAAAACTATATTCTTATCATTATATATATATAATCTCAAATCATATGTGCAGGTGTCTGGTTGTCAGTTCCTAGGAACTTGGTTGCTTGACCCTCATATATTGATAAATGACATACATATATATATATATATATATATATATATATATATATATATATATATATATATATATATATGTGTGTGTATGTGAAATTTATGTGTGTATATTTATATATATATATATATATATATATATATATATATATATAGGACTCTCCCATCATTTTCAACCTATGGTGATTGAGCAACTCTATTTCTAGAAACTGACAGCCAGACTGCCTGCACATATCATTTGATTATAGGGGGCAACAAAGGCTTGTGTAGAACCAATCACACTTTTTGGAAGACCTGAATACAGAGAACTGGTGCAAAGTGTGCCACAAGGTCCCCAAACAACCCTGCACAGGTTTTGAATTTGTTGTCCTCCTTCTAAAGCGATAGAACTAGTCTGTCCTGCTATTTACCACTACCTAAGGGAGAAGAGATAGATTTTCCTGGCATGTTAGCATGTAAGTGAATGTAATGAACTCAATTGGAATTTGAACTTGGCTCTCTGGTTCCTCAATTTGAACTGCTATCCATTACTCCACACACACATATATATGTGTGTGTGTGTGTGTGTATAAAGAAATATAATTTTAAGGTATGCTGTATTTATTGGATAAAGTGCTCAATGTCAGAGATAAAGTGTATATAAATATAAAAGTGAGCATTGAAGTTAACACTCAGGCGACAGGCTGTTTCATGCTGGACGCAATTGTCAATATATATATATATATATATATATATATATATACACACACACATTATATGCAATAGCTAAATATTACTGTATTTCCCATTTCTTAAGGTGTTTATTTTTTCCTGAAAATTATATTAAAAAAAATCACTGTCTTCACACTGAAAGGTCAAGTTGTAGAGGGGAGTTTGCCAGCCTTCACAAATTCCAGCCACAAGATACAAATCACAAACCCCAGGCATATAATAGTAGCCTACAATTATTCAAATGTAATAAATACCAGATATCCTGTTAGTATCATACTATTTATATTATTTATTTTTTTTTAGTACTGAAGGTAACCACTGATCTGAATTGGTATAACATTGTGCTAAACTATTGAAAATTTAATTAGTAATAACCACAAATATTTAATAATAGGTCTAAAAATATGATAAATTGTGACACTGGAGTTGGTGACTTGGACTTACTAGTATGGTAAGCTATTAATTGATCAGATGTTTTCTTTCCAAAAATACCTAGGTAATTATATAGTGCACCTCACCCCTTGTAGTGTTTTAGCATACAGAGAATATGGTAACTTGTTTTACTGTTAGCACTTCAATATAAATATGTTCTGGTGTTTTATTGTAATGAGTTATGATATGCATTGTTTTCCAGATTTAAAAAAATTCAAAGCATGCATAAGACTTAAATCTATGTAAACTTGCCCCTAAAACAATTTCTTAAAAGGATTTTCTGGTTAGAACGAGCCTATAACAAATAATTATAATTAACATAACTAGCATAGTACCTGCAAAAAAAGGACTTGTTTATTTATGTATGAATCTTCTGCCTGGATCAAAATATTTGTGCCCTCTGCCTAGGATCAAAGTGACCCTTCCTAGCACATCTGCCTAAGATCAGTGTGGTATCTGTGCACTCTGTGAAATGGAACACAATAGAATCATTAACTGCCTATCTGTTAATTTGTGTAAGACAACAGAATTGGGAAAGCAAAGGAAAAGAGGAAAGGTGTAAGAAAAGAAAAGCAGAGGGTAAGTAAGAAAGCTTGAGAAAAACAAAAAGAAAATCAGATGTAATGAAAGTGGGGTGAGATAGAGAAGAAAGACAGACAGGCTTGCTGTCTTGAGTTCTTTCACTCTTTTGATTTTTCTTTTAAAGTGTGTGAATCTAATATTTTTCTTTGAGCATTTGATGCACACCATATCTAGGTAAGTAGGTAAATACTATGAATATATAGTTAATGAAAAGTGTGGCCTTTTCTGTTTGTTTCTTTCCTTCTCTTTACATGCTAAAACAAACAAATATAGGTGTATGATCAGTTTTCCAATACTCTAGATTTCAGAACTATGCTAGATTATCTGTTTAGCCTGACAAACAGAAATCATGTTTAACTTTTTGAGCCATGCGTTCTTGAACAATTTTAACCCTTCTGCCTGAGCTCCTGAGTCAAAATTTACAAATAATTGAAATGTAATGTTTCATGGTAGATATAAAAATACTTACAAGTGTTTGCCCAACGTTCAACCAGTAGCTCGGCATTACGTCATTTTTCTCTACCACCGGGAAAGAAGTGGTCAGGACTGAAAGGGTTAATACACCTTTGGCCTGCTAATTATGTCTATCTCATATCTGTACAGCATCATTGACTGTTAGAAACATCAATATATGTTTCAAACAGTCAATGATGCTCTTATTAAATACAATGCCACCTGTGGCTATCTGGGGAATTAGTCTGGTATTTGCATGAAAGTCAAAAGATTACTTATTTTGTTCAGACTAAAAAAAAAATTGCTGAAATATTAATTACTGAAAAATATTGGAGCTGCAATTAAATATAAAAAGAACAAATAACTTGTGCTCTAATTCAAATGTTTTACTGAGAGGTAAGCAAGCAATATATCCACCATTATTTTTTAATGATGTTCACTGTACAAAGCCCAAGAGCCACTCAAAGTAGAGTGTAACAGTGTAAGTGGCACAGTTTATGCAGGTATGTGGGGAAGGTAACTATTGACCTTAGACTTGAACAGGTTAAGAGTGTAGTGATCAGGGAAGCATCCTTTTGGGAGTTGGTTCCAAAAAGCAGCGGTTCATGGGAAGAAGTGGCTAGATTGGAAGTTACATCTCATCAATGGAATACGAAGGGAATGAGGGTGGTTTGCTACAATGAGCATGTCATGGCAACATTCTGACTTAAGTTTCTTAAAACATAGTCATTGCTATTCATTTGATTATCGGTCTATTTTTCACTTTTCTTGCAATGTAATCTTGAGATGGAATATCAATTAGACAAGAAGTAGCATGTTCAACATCGTCTCTTTGCTTTTAATGAAGGTCAGAAAGCTGTTTGAGACATGTGTGCAGTGTACAGAGATGAAATGCTTCAAAACTCCCAAACGGCCAATGCTGAGCTGTGTGTTGGACAAATAAAAAAAGTTCAAAGAAGCAATTCATCTGAAAAGACCTGACTGCTGATACAGTATTATTATTCAATATGACATATCCAATCATACAATTAAAAGCTTGGTTAGGAAGTTGTAGCAAATGAGTCGACTTCAACAGTGTAAGGGACGCAACTCTTTCCGTCTGAAAATGTCTGACACGCTGCAACGCAAAGCCGTGTACACCAAACATGGGTGTAATGCCGTTCTGCCAATTTCTCCAAGCAACCTGCTTTTATGGAGCCCAGACACACCTCATTAGCATGTGTGTAACGCGACTTTGCGTGACTGCATGAGACCGTGAATATTAAGAGTCACGGACGCCATCTTAGATCTTTTCTTTCCTTTCTCAACCCACAGGCCAGGCAGACTCGAGGGCGTTTGTGAGGTAAACCATTTCTATTTTCCCCACAGAAGTTCTACCACACTCAGCATATTGTCTTGATTTAGTTCCTTCAAACGACCACACTTATCAGTCATTTTCTAACAATTTGAGGGAGTCTTTCATTCAATAATGATGTGAAGCTTAAAATGTGACTTGATTAAATTTTTGAGTGTAAATATAATGATTTCTATTGTTGAGGTGTTGAGAAATTAATGGATCATTGACATAAGGTCGTAAACAATACATTGTTGAATGATTCGTCAAAACTATTAATAAATAATAAGTATTAAAATAAAAACTAAAAAACAAATAAATTTAAATAAATTTATTAACAACCTAATAATAATAGTTAAAGATTTGTTAATTAAGTATTATATTTTGGATTTATTTAAACAAAAACTTACATTGTACCAAGTTTTTTGTAAGTGAACATCTTTTAAGCATCTGTCTATATTTCTGATATGAAGTAACTTTTTACACTATATTGTTCGGATTGTTGTCCTCATCTTTATTATCAGATTGGACACATGGCCTAGTGGATAAAAGCATTGGTTGAAGTAATCCAGTGACTTGAACCAAAGAGTTGTGTGTTCAATACCTGGCCAGAGCAGATATGAACAAAAACTTGGAGAGATGAGTTATTAAAAGGAACTAACTGAAATTAAGATATCCAGAAAAGGCATGGCATGCAGAACTAGAACAATTTACCCATGTGGACTAAATAAATGGTTCAGTTTGAAATTCCAACACATATTACATTAAGAAAACAAGAGCATACAACAGCCAAAACATTATGAATAGGACAGTAAAAATGAGGACAACAGTTCAAACAATGTAAATAGTGTAAATGCCTTTTAAGCAACTCATCAATTTCTTTAATAATAATTTTTCTGATTTTCTGCAAATGATCTCAAAGCTTAATATTTTGTAATATTTTTTTGATTCTGAGTAATTCTGGTCATCCTGCAGAACTTTTGCTTAATGTTATTGGAATTTTAATTCAGATTAGACACCCCTTTGAGATGGCATGCTAAGTAGACAAGAATGAGCATGTTAGATATCATCTCTTTACTTTTAATCAAGCTGCCAAAGATGCTCAAGATATTTGTGCTGTGTATGGAGATGACTTCATTACCAACAGAATATGAAATGCTTTAAAACAATCAAATGGTTAATGCCAAGGCAGTATGTTAAACAAATGAACAAAATCTCAAAGTGGCAATTCAACTGAGAAGACCTGACCTGCAATTGTGTGATTATAACAATTTGAAGAGTGTTTTCTTCAACAATGATGCTGGACTTAAAATGTGGCTTGATGAATTTTTCAAGTCAAAACCTAGTGATTTCTATGGCATTGGATCATTGGCAGGAGGTTGTTAAACAATGAAGGGGAATATATTGTTGAATGATTCATCAAAACTATTAATAAATAATAAGTATTAAAATAAATTATGAAAAATGTACAGATTTATATAACAACCAAATTTTGTTTTTTATACTAAAGATCATCCAATACAAGGGAGTTACTGTTAAAAAGGTTATGATAAATGAGCTGTAATACGAGTGAAAGAGATGGCGGTAAGAGGAAAGTTGTGAGGATAAGGAGGATAGATAATGATTAACCATTGAGACAAAGGGTTATTTTGGAGCTTTTTTTTTTTTTTTTCGGTTAAATGTAGGTTGTATATACTATCAAATATGATTACAATCTAATTTGAATTTTTATTTTTCAGGTGAATGTCACACCTGTTATTGAAAATGCAAAAGAAAAACAGAATAAGCTTCCTGCTGGTTGGAGAATAGATGTTGCCAGCAATGGAGAAACTGTCTTTATACATTCCAGTTCTGAAGATAAGGTAAACAATTCCAAGTAATTCCTCAAACTATTATCATTATTCTTACTAACAATAAAATAGTCAAGCCATATGAAAAGAGAAAGTAGAAAATCTGGTATGGCAGACCATATATAGAGAGAAGAGCTCATAATAATAGAGACAGCAATGGAAAATAAGAAAATGAAAGAGCATAAAGTGTTTTAATAGAGGACAGAAAAGGTGACACTGAAATCTGGTATGGCAGAATATATATATATATATATATATATATATATATATATATATATATATAAGAGACAGAGGAGCTCATGGGATAATGATATATAAGGTTTTATATATGCAAACATCTATTTAAAAAAAGATTAAATTTGAAAGACTTAAAGTTCAGTGTGCCCCGTCTTTCATACACGTATTTAGTTGCATCAAGATAAACATCACTTTATTTCAATGAAGTTCCAAAGGATGAAGCACATCACATGAAAAACATTTTTCAACTTTGTCATTGATTTTCCTAAGGGCTCATATAATAATATGGAAAATAAGAAAATTAAAGGAAGTAGCAGAAAAATCAACACTGAAGTCTGAAGTAACATTTGAATAGCAAAATATGCTTTCCAAAACCTGAGCAAAGTATTGAGAAGCAGGAAAAATTTGTTTATCACTTCATGCTTAGAAACAAAGAAAAGTCTGCTGAAAATGTTATGCTATATCAGTCCTCCTGGCAATGAATGCTGGACACTCTCCTCACAGATGAAGCTGAGACTTGAGATAACAGAAATTCTACAATTTTACACAAGGATCAAACTATCACCAGTCACGATGAATGGATGTCTCATGGAGAGGCTCTATACTTTGAGAGACTATTAGGCCTTAAACTCACTCCTGACCTTGTGGAACCCTTACAATGTGATCCATTGCTAAAAATGCAAGTAAAATGGTCAGTTCCATGTATCACTCCAGTAAGTACCTAATTTCTCATGCTATTTTCTATCTCTACAAGGGCGAAATCAGACCAAAAATGGAGTACGGTTGGCATATTTGGGCAGGAGCTGCTCAGTCCTCATTTTCCAGTCAATATAGTTCAGAAGCATCTCAGTCCTTTTGGGTAACAAATTATTCTCCACCTACTAATCTATCTCTCTCTCTCTATCTATCTATCTCTCTAGCTCTCTCTCAGGTGAAACCTCTCACTGCTATATTGCTACTACCATGGAAAGTGCTCACACAAACTACATTCCTTGGTACCTCCAGGTCTAGCCTTCATGGCTATGACCCGCCATGCTTCTTATATTGTAGCAAACCATCCACATTTCCTCCATTGCTGAGAAATCAATTCCACTTGAACAGCTTTTTTTCCCCATGAACCACTGCTCTGTGGTACTGACTCCCAAGATGATGCTTCTCCGATCACTACAATCTCAATCTGTTCAAGTCTAGGCTTAACCATTATCTTCCCCTACTATCTGTATAAATTGCCTCTTAACATAACCCTCTATCTTGACCTTACTGTAACATAAAAAAAAAAAAGATACGGAGAATACCATGGACTCAACATGTAACCAAAAACCTTTAAGCAATCAAAAACAAGGCTTGTACTTAGAATCAGAAATCTGAAAGCAAATGGTATAGCAAAAGATGCCTTCCAAAATCTAAACAATGTATTAAGAAACAGAAAAATTTCATTAGAAACAAAGATTAGTGCACTTAGCTTCTATTGATATCAATCCTCCCATATGGCAATGAGTGCAGGACAATTTCATCACAGATGAAGAAGAAAGTTGCAGTTCTACAGAAGGATGCTGAGAATACCATGGACTGAACATATGTAGTAATGAGGAAATTTTAAGGAAAAGAGAAACAAAAAGGTCACTTATACGTAACATCAGAGGCAGCTGACATTTCTTGGACACATAAGGAAAGAGAGGCTGGAGAATTTGACACTCACAGGTCATATTAAAGGCAAGAGGGGACAGATTAAAGCAGCAAATAAACTACCTAATATGCTCATGTAAATGGTTGGCAGAACAGGGATTAGGGAAGATAGGAAAAAAAGACAAGCTTTACTAAAAGTTACAAAGGACAGGAAGTTGTAGAGAGCCATGATCAATCACATTCTGAAGGAACACTACATATAAAGAAGAAAAAGCATACTAAATTGATGAGTCTAACTTATGCTCATGTCCATCAAGACATGTGCATAAGTTAGACTATTGCAGATTTCAGGAAAGTATTAGACAGCTTCAATGCATAAAAAATTGTAACCTGTTGGTAGGGCATAGCATATACTGACAGCACCCTCTGCAGGAGGGTAAATTCAACCAAAAGAGCCATCTAATGAGTAAATGTGTTTATAACTCAAATTCAAACAACCAATATTTACCTATCCTCAATCCAATTAAAGGCTTATAGACTTAAATATGCTTGGTGTAACAGCAAAATTGCCCAAATTGTATAACAGTATATGATAACTGTCCATTCCACAAAATATTTAATATCTAAAAAACTATATTATTTACATTATTCGGACTATTGTCCTCATCTTTGTCGCCATATTTATCACAACGTTTTGGCTGTTGTATGCTCTGGCCTTCTTCAGGTGGTTGGAATTTTGAACTGGACCCTTTATTTTGCTCACTGGCCATGTCCTCAAGGACACATGGCACAGTGGATAAAGGCGTTGGTTAGATCCAGTGACAGGACCCAAAGAGTGTGAGTTCAATACCCGGTTAAGGCAGTGGAGAACTTTCAGAGGGAAATTAGCAGGAGATAACTGATAACTGACATCCATCAAACATGGCACGTGGAACTAGAACAGTCTACCCCAGTGAGTGAAATAAAGGGTTCAGTTCGAAATCCCAACTACCTGAAGAAGGCCGAAGCGTATAACAGCTGAAACGTTGATAAATATGGCAACAAAGATGAGGATAATAGTCCGAATAATGTAAATAATGTAGATAATACCTCATCTCAGAAATATAGACAGAATCTAAAAAACTACTAAAGTAATTGAGTTTCTTTTCCCCAGGTTTTCAGATAAGACATTTAGCCATGACACAGTGAACCAACTTTCCTAGCAGTTGACCTAGCAATGGATTCAATAGAGTCTTTTTCACTTCATGTCTGGAGGTTAGCATCAGCCATGCCGATGGCAGGCAGAGAAGGATCTCTAAGATGATTAATGGAGAGAAGTTTAGTTTTGGAGGCGTATAGATTAAAATATGACCAATATTTACCTATCCCTGTACCAAGTAAATGCTTAGAGATTCAGATATAAATGGCCAATATTAACCAGTTTCTGAAGTAAGTAGATACTCAAACTTAAAAGAAAAAAAAAAGAAACTGATTTTAACATTAATAAGTCAAGAAGGGTTGACATTTCCTCCTGTCTCATAATTTTCCCTTTTCCATTAACATTTACTTTATTAGAATTGTGACAGAATCTTCAAAGTACATAATAAAAAGAATTTAAGAATCATATAAAAGTGATTATTCTTATTAGAAATAAGAAAACATTGCCGTGTTTTGAATTAGGAAATAAATTACCAATTATTTGTCCATCCTGGGTAAGACGATAAACTAGATCCGACAGCAAGGCCTTTGATCAGAAGGTTTTGAGGAGCATGGAACCACTGGGTGCTGGTGTTCCCAGGTCCATCCTGCCCTGGGGTGGTAGCACCTGTTAGGGTCCCAGCTATGGGCAAATATTCCCCCCACCAAAAGGGGTCAAACACTATGAAAGTATAAAAATAGATTTTAATACCAGCAGTACATTTTTGAAAAAAATATTGCCAACAATACATATTTATAAAAAAAATATTACCAGCAATAAAAATCTTGTCAGCATTAAATAACCCATTGAGGTTGATATGCCGTAAAACAAACCAAACCAATTATTTGTCAGTATCAAATCTTTTCTTATACTTGTACAGTTTGGAATTAAATGGCCCATAAGTTGATATACCATTAAACAGTTAATCAAATATTGGTACAGCTTGATAGGACTGGTTACAAAAATTATTGGTCATTTGAATGCTTACCAACCTTCTCTAGGTGTATTGCAACTTTCTGCCTACCTTAGTGTTATGTTATCAGGTGTTCTCCAGCATTCTTTCTTTCCTTGGGGATTTCATGTTAGATCATGTTTTGTGGCAATAATGTCTCACTGACATTGTCCAAAAGACAATTATCTTAGTCAATGAACCTGAAAGCTTCTAGAGACTTTTGGTTTTTATTCCAATGTGTAATGAAACTTTATTAATAATACAAACCTCCTTCCATGTCTGAGTTGTTTTGTTGATCTCATGTTGGTGTTTCTGTATTGAAGGATTGTTTATAGAATATGGGTCATTCAGTTATGTGCCATGCATGATACATGACTGACGAGGCAGATTTTTTTTCCCCACAGTAGGTTGCCATTTCTTTTTGCAGTAGACCAGTTGCCATCCAAGGCTATAGAACCCAGTCTGTCCTGCTATTTACCCATAGCTGGGGGGGGGGAGAAGAGGATTCGTACCTTTCCCAAGGGTATTATTAGCATGTAAGTGAATGTAATGGATTCAAATGGAATTTGAACTCGGCTCTGATTCCTCAATCCGAGCTGCTATCCATTACTCCTCTGTGCCTCCTGAATATGGGTACTAATCCCATACCCAAATTACTTTTACATATAGGGACTCCTGAAAAACATTATTGAAGTCAATGACCATGTAGTAGTATTGTGTTTTTTTTTTCAAAGTTTATGTGTTTATCTAAAGCACTAATGAAAACTAACTTCAGTAGCTGGTTGTTAGACAAAACCACTTTTGAGAGGTGTATTTGCTCAGATTAAAGGAACAGAAGTTGTCAAACTGAAAGGGTATAGATAGCCTAGTGGTAATGGTGTCAGTGTGTTGAAGTTTTATTTGTGGGACTTAGCTGTTAGAATGTTGGACATGAAAATACCTAATCCTTGAAACCATTGTCCATACAGTATATTTGCTCATAGATGTATTTGTGAGAAACTGATTTTTGGTCATGCATGG